TTGGGAGGGTGTAGAACTCTCTTTTCAGCCAACACAGCAATCTCCTCTGCAGTGTCCTCAACAAGTGTCCAATTCCACTCTTAACATTTCCAGTGACAAGAAGTTGCCCACATCATAAAGCAACCCGTCCCACTTTTAGATGGCTGATATTTTAGTTATTTCTTATTCAGCTGAAATCTACTTTCATGAAATTTCTAAGAGCTATTTGTTGATTCCATAGAGAATGTCTAATTCTCCTTTACCTGAAAGCCATTCAATTATGCAACAGGATGTCCCTCCCTCACCAAAAGCTTTCCCCGTTAAATATTTCTCATTCATGCAGCCATTTCTCATATGACATGATTTATAGGCACTTTCCTTTCCTGACTGCCTTCTTTGAATGTTCCAGTTCATTAATGTCCTCTTAAATATGGCATCCAGGAGTAAGCTCCATGGGCCAGCTAGGGAGGCCCAAGTGGGACCTGATCAGTTCACCACTTTCCTCTTGACTGAACTCAATTCTCATTAGCACTTTTTTGCATTGTCACCTCACAATCAACTAAGACCTTCAGTCTTCACAATGCTACATTAAGTTCTAGCTCCTCATTCTTTTTTATAATATATTTTATTGATTTTTTTACAGAGAGGAAGGGAGAGAGAGGGAGAGAGATAAGGTGACCAGCGGGACGTCTGGTCACCTTAGGTAGTTAAAAACTTCGATCGGCTGCCTCTTGCACACCTCCTACTGGGGATGTGCCCACAACCAAGGTACATGCCCTTGACCAGAATCGAACCTGAGACCTCTCAGTCCGCAGACAGACACTCTATCCACTGAGCCAAACTGGTATCGGCTCTAGCTCCTCATTCTTAAATGTCCTGCACTAAATAAGGCATTAGAACCCTTTATGTGTCCCTTCATGCTTTTATAAGCCTAAATTTATTCTGGCCTTAGGCTCTTCTGACTCATTTTCTAGAGATCTGTGATACATTTTGGTCTGCATCCTTAAAACCTTAGCCCTCCTTCTGTCATCTATATATGTACTTTCAAAATCTGAGCTACACACACACAGGTCTGAATCTTTGGAATCTCTTGCCCTCTTAAGCTATCTTTCTCTTTAGATATTTGGCCAGGATAATATTATTGTATTTATCTTTTCTCTTTTGATCTCTCTCTCTCTCTCTCTCTCTCTCTCTCTCTCTCTCTCACACACACACACACACAGACACACACACACACTTCAGTTAATCCATCTGACCATGCCTACCATTCTTTTCATTCTTTTACTTAACAGATCCAGATGGCATGGTCAGTTTCCCCAAGATTCTTGTCATTTTTACTTTGCTAACCAGATCTTCCTTATTTATTGTTAGGATTAAGCCCAGTTCAGCAATTTCCTCTCTGCTTCTTCAGTCTTCTGAGAACTATAATCATCAGCAACAGAGTCAAGAATATATCAGACAGCTTATGTATTTGATCACCATTTCTTCCCTATGTGATGGTTTTATGAAGTACGATTCAGAACTATCTAGGCAGTCTCTTGTATATTTGCACAACTATAATCACTTTCGTTTCTCCCTTTCATTTTCACTGAAAGTTTTCAACCTCGAGCCAATAAAATACTACTCTACTCTCCTTTAATATGGTATCTTCCTGAACAGGTTTATCCTTCCATTTTGAGATGCCAGTCAGAAGTCCCATTTTACCAACTTTGAACAATACCTATATAATTGTTTTTCTGCCTGCATTAATGTTTTACATTTACTTTATTCCCATATTCTGGGTGTTGGTACATAGATCACTAACTGAGATCTTACTAGTATGTATCTTTTCTGACCCTCATCCTTGTTTTTTCTTGAGAATTACTAGACACTGCCTTAGCTTTAGTTCTTCTTTCTTAATTACACTTGTAGTCTACATAGTTTCCGAAAACACAGTATTTACTAACACAAAACCCCCACTATTCCTCACTGGAGGAATCCATTTTTAATTAATTGATCAGCCATATATCATTATCATGAACATTTGTCTCTATTTTCCTGGGTTCTTGCTACTTGTTTCTTTTTTCTTCTTTTTACTTTTTAATTTTTTTAACTTTCAGACATAAAAAAAAAAATATTGCCCAAAAACAGTATAAAGAATTTCCATATATCTTTTACTCAGTTTCTCCAAATGTTAACATCTTACATAATCATTGTAACTAAGAATAATATTGGTAGCCCTAGCCGGTTTGGCTCAGTGAATAGAGAGCAGGCCCTCGGACTGAAGAGTCTCTAGGGTTCAACTCTGGTCTAGTATACCTCTCTCACTTACAGGCATGTGGGAGGCAACCAATCGATGGTTCTCTCTCACACTGATATCTCTCTCTCTCTCTTTCCTTTTCACTCTCTAAAAACCAATGGAAAAATATCCTCAGGTGAGGATTAACAAAATAATAGAATTGGTAGAATACTCTGAAGGAATCCACAGATCTTCAAATTTCAACAATAGTCCCACCAGTCTCCATTTTCTGCTTCAGGATCCAATCCAGGATCACACATTTCATTAAACTATCATTCTTCTTAGTTTCTTTAAAATATATTTTTATTGATTTTTAACAGAGAGAAAGGGAGAGAGATAGAGAGCTAGAAACGTTGATGAGAGAGAGACATCGACCAGCTGCCTCCTGCACACCCCCCACCGGGGATGTGCCCACAACCAAGGTACATGTCCCTGACCGGAATCGAACCCAGGACCTTTCAGTCCGCAGACCGACGCTCTACCACTGAGCCAACCCGGCTTTGGCCTTAGTTTCTTTAAATCTGTGACAGTCCTCAGTTTTTCTGTTTTCCAAGACCTTGACACTTTTGAGAGCATCTGACTCCTCTAAGTGTACCTGCTCATAGGCAACTAGGAGAGCTCCAGCTCACAGTGGATTTGGAAAAATACTAAGCCATGGCATGAAGTTGTTTTTAAATGACCCATCTTGTATTTCATCTTCAGTAAAACTACATTTGTTACCCAAAGACTAAGAAGGGGAAAATTCTATGTAATTATTTGATCATCTTTTTGTGTGGAGAGAAAGAAATGGGACAGAGCATAAATGCAGAAGTGCTTGAAACTGCAAAAGGAATCTGGAATAGAATACTTGTTCCAAGGGAGTAGCAGATGTGGCCCAGAGAGATAGGAAAAGGGTAAATAAGTGATTGCCCTCCATTTCAAAGAGTAATTAACATTTGAATAAAAAGCATTAATCAAGATGTCAAGGGTTCAAACTAGAAAGGTTTAAAATTTTATTTTGAAATGTGTTCTGAAAACCACCTCCCTCTAAATAAAACAATCTGTAGAGATTTGCTTTACCTGTTAATTCTCTCCATAGTAGAAGTAGAGGAGTGACTATCACTTTCAAGGAATATATCCTGTCACTCTCTGAAACAGTGCAACAAGGTTACTTTTGTATCCATATGCATTACTAATTATAATCCGCTTGTAACTTCTCATAAACACAGGTCAAAGATACCCCCCAAGATCAACAAAGCTGAATTCAAACTTGCTCTTCTTTGAACACGTGATGTGTTGCTGGGGTTCTTGGGAGGGCTAGCAAATTGCAAAGTATACTTAGAGGATCTGACAATCTTGAAGGAAGCCTCGAATAGGGTCCTTTAATGGGCAGATCTGGAGAAGGTGGGAGAAGGGAGGAAAGGAAAGTGAGGGATATGCCCCTTGTCTTCAGTATGCTGGGCACCGAGGGTTTAGCTACAGTTGCAGTTCTCAGGCATTATCCTTATTTTTATAAACATTGTTGCAATCACTTAGACATAGGACTTGTGATTACACTCTTGGTTCCTGTTGTGAACCTGAGAGTACATTCAAACTGGCAACAATTTGTGTGGCAAATGCTTACCCAGTGCAGGGATTAAAGGGCTCAGTAAGCACTAGTCCATTGAACAATGGCTGTCTACCTAATTCTTTTGATTCCTCTTTTTTTTGGAGTTCAGGAATCAATTCAATCCGAGAGCACTTTACCTGGACTTGGGGAAGCCAAATGCCAACCTAGTTCATACAGTCTTTTAACCTTCCCTGTACAACCTTTGTATTTGGCTTCTGGCTACAATTTCCCCACCCCTAGCAGAGTCCTTTGGACTCTCCTCTGCAAGTTCCCAGAAAGATCTTTGTCAGGCTGTATTTGCAAACTCGGATCTGGAACATGTTGGCAGTGTCCCCGCTATGCTGTTCCCCCAATTTCCTCTGGCTTCACAGACATAACTTCAGGGCAGTACCAGGTCTAGAGTGAAGATGTACTTGCACTGGCACAAAATGTAAGGGAATTCCAAATAACTTAGTAAGCAAAATAAATGATTTATAATGCACTATCTTAAGAACTCAAGAACTCAAAAGTAATGGGAAAAAGTCATAATGAACTTGTATGACCCTGCCTCGCTTGTTTCAACCTAATCTCAGGCCTGAGGATTCCAAATAAACTTTATTTACTAAAACAGGCTACCGGTCAGCGGGCCTCAATTTCCTTTTAGGAAAAATGTTAAATGTTGCATTAAATTTTATCTTGATTACCGAGTTGTGTGCTTTTTGTTTTGTTGTATTTTGTTTGGCGGTTCCCTTAAATCCTGAGCCTCATCTTTGTCCGGGCCCTGCTCCAAGGGTTTTGGGCCAAGAACCTGGTAACGTCAGCGACCCTTCTCGCTCCCAGACCCCTCCCAAGGTCCAGGGTCCGAATCCCAGGTATTCCCTAAGGCCACCCCTCCCACAAGCTAAGTCAGCTCCAGTGGACCGGCAGGGAGGGTGAAGGGCGGAGGGCGGAGGGCGGCCCGGCCCGATTCCGTGGCTCCTCCCCGGCCGACCCAAGCCACTCAGCAGTCGCCAGGCTAAGCGCGCTGCCAGCCTACCAGCCACGCCTCCGAGGCCGGCCTCCGGGGCGCCGGCTCCGGGTATATATATCAGCCATTTGTTTCGCTCCGCCCTAGAGCCCCGGAGTTCAAGCCGGTTACGGTCCCAGGCCAGTACTCGCCCGCTTCTTCTTTTCAACATGACAGATGCCGCCGTGTCCTTTGCCAAGGACTTCCTGGCAGGTGGAGTGGCCGCAGCCATCTCCAAGACCGCGGTAGCACCCATCGAGCGGGTCAAGCTGCTGCTGCAGGTACCTCCTGGGATCAGAGCCCGAACAGGAAGTGGGGGAGGGGAAGGGAAGAGGGTCTCGCAGAAAGCGGAGCCCAAGGAATGGAGGGGAATGAACTCTTTAGATAAGTCCCGGGAAGGGGCAGCGTGGGAGCCAGGGTGGCAGCAGAGACGGGCCAAAAGGCAGGTTTGAGGGGGGTGCTTTTTTTAGTGACCCTAAGTTCCAGATCTAGGGAAGGGTCGGGGGTGGAGGGAGGCGACCAAGGCCCGGGCCTCGGCTTCCCAGAGGCCGCAAGCCCGGGCCGGCGGGGGGCGGGAGAGGCAGAACGATTCCGGCCGTGCCTAGCTGGCTCCCCGGGCCTTCGGGGCAAGGGCAAAACCTGAAAGCCGGCGAACACTTGGCCTTACCGGAGACCTCAAGGTCGCGGCAAGGAGATCACAGCCTTGAGGAAGCCACGCGGCCGGTCGAGCGGCCGCGCTCAGACCCGGCCGGAAGCCGGTACCGGGAAGCGCGTGTTCCTGCTGCGTCCGCCCCCGCGCAGCCGCCGGCGTTTCCCCGGCGCCGCGCGCTCCCACGTTCCGGCTCTAGGTGGCGCCCTCGGACGGGCGAAGTGGCCTGGTGGCACGCGGGTCACCGCCACGAGACAAATAGGGTCTGGACGGAGAGGGAGGGAAGAGTTCAGGAGAACTGAGGCGTAGGCCCTGGTTACCAAGGTGACCGCACCCTACCTGGGACCCACCTTAATGCCTCTGAACTTGGGCCTGCACTTTCTCCTAGGTCTAAAGGGCACTGGTCCGCGTGTGCGTGCCTGCTCTCCACCCAAGGGGTGGAGGCTTAAAGTCGCTAATGAGGCAGATCACCTCTTCCACCTGTGACCGCTGTGATACAGAAGACTAGGAGGGGGGCAGGGAGCTAATCTTAAATCGCGTTGATGAGATGATATATTCTTTTCCCTTTTTCCTTCATGGTCATAACTCTCCCTATTGGTCTTTTTGTCTCTCAGGTGCAGCATGCCAGCAAGCAAATCACTGCAGATAAGCAATACAAGGGCATTATAGACTGTGTGGTCCGTATCCCCAAGGAGCAAGGAGCCCTGTCCTTCTGGCGCGGTAACCTGGCCAATGTCATCAGATACTTCCCCACCCAGGCTCTCAACTTTGCCTTCAAAGATAAATACAAGCAAATCTTCCTGGGTGGTGTGGACAAGAGAACCCAGTTTTGGCGATACTTTGCAGGGAATCTGGCATCAGGTGGTGCCGCTGGGGCTACCTCCTTGTGTTTTGTGTATCCTCTTGATTTTGCCCGTACCCGTCTAGCAGCTGATGTGGGCAAAGCTGGAGCTGAAAGGGAATTCAAAGGCCTCGGTGACTGCCTGGTTAAGATCTACAAATCTGATGGGCTTAGAGGCCTATACCAAGGCTTTAATGTGTCCGTACAGGGTATTATCATCTACCGAGCTGCCTACTTCGGTGTCTATGATACTGCAAAGGGTAAGTTTTATATATGCTTTGAAGTTGTGTTCTTATGAGACGGTGTGGAAGGTTACCATCCTAATTTTCCAGGAGCCAGAGATTATTATTTTTTTTTTAATAATTGCTAAAGGCAGCTAAGGTCATTCAGTATAACCTTTGTGACTAGAGAGATGTTAGGGGAATGTGGAAAGCAAGTCTGTAAAACTTCTTTCTAGTAAAGATGCCTCTTTCCTATTCTCAGGAATGCTTCCAGATCCCAAGAATACTCACATCTTCATCAGCTGGATGATTGCCCAGTCCGTCACAGCTGTGGCTGGCTTGACTTCCTATCCATTTGACACTGTTCGTCGCCGCATGATGATGCAATCAGGACGCAAAGGAAGTAAGTTCCCCTTAAGCAGAAGATGAAGACATGGGCATGGGGTTGATAGTCTGTTCAGATCAGGTAATGGGGTTGATAGTATCTACTACCCTGTTTCCCCAAAAATAAGACAGTATCTTATATTAATTTTTTCTCCCAAAGTTGCACTAGGTCTTTTTCGGAGGATGTCTTATTTTCAGGGAAACACGGTTTGTAGTTGCCTTTGAGCCAGGCCCTTTGGGTGCCTATGAATGAGGGTGCTTAAATTATATTAGAGGTTAAGTCTGATGGGTAGTATTAATATTTCAGCATTCAGTTATTTAATATTTCATTAACTAACCTGTTAGTGTTGGGCTTTAAACAACTTAACTCTTAGAAATGGGGCTCTAGTTTAGTTCAGTAATCCTAGGACTTTTCATTAGCCTTTTGTTGCTAACTCAGTCTTTCTTCTTTGCAGCTGATATCATGTACACAGGCACACTTGACTGCTGGAGAAAGATTGCTCGTGATGAAGGAGGAAAAGCTTTTTTCAAGGGCGCATGGTCCAATGTTCTCAGAGGCATGGGTGGTGCTTTTGTGCTTGTCTTGTATGATGAAATCAAGAAGTACACATAAATTATTTCCTAGTCTTCCCTCCCCCAGACCCCGTGAACAGGCATGTTATATCATGTAACATCTCGTGAGCATTCTTGACAGACTTTTGGTTGTCTGTTTATCAGTGGCAACTATTTTACTGGTTGAAAATGGGAAGCAATAATATTCATCTGACCAGTTTTCTCTTCAAAGCCATTTCCATGATGATGATGGGACTCAATTATATTTTTTATTTCAGTCACTCCTGATAATGAATTTGAAGAAATAAAAAATATCTGAAATATAATTTTGTTTGTGGTTTATTTGCCTGTAAAAATGTCTTGTTTAATTTAGTGAGTGCTACACTTGAGAAAATGCTGCATGTTTAACAAATACTGCTGTGTCTCCTGAGACATGAACAGCTTTCTTTTAAAACCAACCTTCAGCCATCACTTATCAAAGTGTTGCTTGTTGTCCACCATCCAGAACTGAAATATCATTGCTGACATGTACACATAAGGAACTGTTTGACATTGAAATTGGGTCTCAAAAGAACTGTTGGTCCAGAAAGAAAGTATATTTCCAGTAGGACATGATCTCACTCATCTAGGGGAAATGGTGAACAACATAGACTGAACAAGAACAGACCCAGAGATAAGGAGCCGTGGGTCAGACTGTTAGACTTCAAAGGGAGGGTGGGGATAAAAGAGAGATCAACCAAAGGACTTATGTGCACACATATAAGCCTGACCAGTGGTCAAGGACAAGAGGAGAGTGGGGCATGAGTGGGGAGGAGTGGGGGATTGGAATGGGGGGTTGAGGGCAAATATGTGATACCTTAATAAATTTAAAAAGTAGCTTGTCAACATTCCCAGTACATGGGAAATTCAGGCCCACTGTATCCAAAAAGCATTGGTCCGTGGCCTGTGGAAGGTCATTGTTGAATGAGCTTTCTCCAAAAAGTAAAATGTATCAATTTACCTAGTCCTATGGTTAAGAAATACAAGCTGAAATGTTCACTGTTTTCTGTGAATTTCCTCACAGTCAAAAAGAATTGTATAATATACAGTAATAGCAATTTTTGTCCAGTTGCCTTCCCTCATCTATCTTCACCTGGATCAAGCCATTTTAATCTCATTCAAAGCAAAGGATTAGAGCTGGCCTAGTTAAGCGGTGCTGAGATAGCAGTGCTGCTCAAGATTACAGGGAGATCTGAATAACTGCCACGACCTCAAAATCCATTTTACAGAGAGGAAATGCATCTGCATTTTGTTTAACGTGCTATTAACCCCAGTCCATGAAGGACATGTTTCTTATGGATAAGCCCTTATTTAGGATCCACATGAGAATGTTTGCCATTTCTGTAGCTCTTGAGCCTCAAAAGCCAGTAACAAGATTTATGAATAAGGCACCATGGTTGTCAAGGCGCAGCATTAATAATGGAAGATGATAGGTGATTCATGTGTACATTCCTGAGGAGCATCACGCATGCAAGTTTCAGTGCTGATCACGGGGTCTGCATGGCATGCATTAATGCCCAAAGGACCCTAGATATTTCAATCACTTGAAAAGTGTAACTTAGTTAAGAACTCCGCACACTATGTATATGAAACAAAGTTGTGCCCTTTAAATATATACAATGTTTAGGCTGGCCAGCAGGGCTCAGCCAGCAGGGCTCAATTATTGAGCATCGACCTATGAACTGGAAGGTCATGGTTCGATTCTCAGTCAAGGCAAATGCCTATGTTTCGGGCTCCATCCCCTGTGTGGGGTGTGCAGGCGACAGCCAATCAATGATTCTTTTTTAATTTTAATATATTTTATTGATTTTTTACAAGAGGAAGAGAGAGGGACAAAGAGTTAGAAACAACCAGGGATGTGCCCGCAACCAAGGAACATGCCCCTGACCGGAATCGAACCCAGGACCTTTCAGTCCACAGGGTGACGCTTTATCCACTGAGCCAAACTGGTTTCAGCCAATGATTCTTATTGATGTTTCTCTCTCCCCCTCCCACTCTGAAATCAACATATATATTCTAGTATATCCTTGAGTGAGGAGGATTAAAAAGAAAAAGATCTCAAAGTTGTTTTAAAAACCCAAAACTTGTTCTCGTGTTGTGCTGTTGGGCAAGTTACCTAATTTCTCAAAGCCTTAGTTTTCATCTTTTATAAATTGAGAATATTGGCTGCCTTGGAGGGCTGTTGCATGAATTATATAATTTGTGTAAAGCATCTGCCTTAGAACATAATAAGTACTTTATAAATAGTAACTATGATAATTATTAAGAGGCAGTTAAGATTTGGGGATTCCAGAATCAGAAGTACACGGATTTGAGGCCCTGGCTGAGTGGTGCAATTGGTTAGAGCATTGTCCCGATACCCCAAAGTTGCAGTGCAGGTTTGAACTCTGGTCAGGGCACATACAAGAAGCAACCAATGAATGCATAAGTAAGTAGAACAACAGATCGATGTTTCTTTCTCTCCCTTTCTCTCTCTAAAAATCAATAGATTTTTAAAAAAATATATTTTATTGATTTTTTACAGAGAGGAAGGGAGAGAGTTAGAAACATCTATGAGAGAGAATCATCATCGATCAGCTGCCTCTTGCACGCCCCCTACCGGGGGTGTGCCCGCAACCGAGGTACATGCCCTTGACTGGAATCAAACCCGGGACCCTTCAGTCCGCAGGCTGAACTGAGCCAAACCGGTTTCAGCATCAATAGATTTTTTTACAAAAGAAGTATCTGTGCCCTAACTGGTTTGGCTCAGTGGATAGAGGATAGGCCCATGGACTGAAGGGTCCTAGGTTCCATTCCGGTCAAGGGCATGTGCCTGGGTTACAGGTTCAATCCCTGCCCTGGTCCGAGTATGGGGGAGGCGGCTGGTCAATATGTTTCTCTCTATTAATCTTTCCCCCATTGCTTCCACTCTCTCTAAAAATCAATGGAGACCTCAAAGGGAGGGTGGGGATAAAAGGGAGAGATCAACCAAAGGACTTATGTGCACACATATGAGCCTAACCAGTGGTCAAGGACAATAGGGGCGTGGGGGCATGAGTGGGGGGGGGAGGGGTGGGGATTGGAATGGGAGGTTGAGGACAAACATGTAATACCTTAATCAATAAAGAAATTAATTTTTAAAAAATCAATGGAGGAATATCCTCCCGTGAGGATTTTAAAAAAGAAGAGTACTTGGATTTGAAACCTGGCTATGCTGCCTTCCTTGCTCCCGAATCTGTTTCCTCATTTGTAAAATTGGGATATAATAGTGCCAGTCATATTCCCTATGGGTGTTTTGAATGAGGGTTAAGGAACATAAAGCACGTAGAGCAGTAAGTATGGCACCTGGCATCTAATAAGCACACCAATGGGAGTTTTTCATAATTAGGCATCCATTTTGTTGAATGAAGATTTGCCCCAGCAGAGTACTAGTTAAGAATGAATTCAAGCCGAAACCGGTTTGACTCAGTGGATAAAGCGTCGACCTGCGGACTGAAAGGTCCCGGTTTCAATTCCGGTCAAGGGCATGTACATTGGTTGCTGGCATATCCCCAGTGGTGGGTGTGCAGGAGGCAGCTGATCAATGATTCTCTCTCATTGATGTTTCTAACTCTCTATTCCTCTCTGTAAAAAATCAATAAAAATATATATTTTTTAAAAGAAAAGAATGAATTCAAGCTCACTTTTCCTGCAACAGCCTTGACATACTATATTGTGTAAAATTCCTATAAAATAAACTTCAGCTTAGGTCTTTTTTAGTTGTAGATTTTGACCCTGAAAGGAGCTAAGAGGCTCTCCAGTTAGGGCTGAAAATCACAATACAAGATAACCCAAGCCCCCTTTATGGTTATTAAAATATATGCAGATTCACTGAGCTGCAGTTATTAAAATAAACCTAGAACTAGGCATAAATGATCAGAAAGCAAGAAGTGGTGCCTCTCACAATTGGTTGACTGATATAAATGAGGTGGTGGTGGTTGTTTTTTCTGTTATTTCTATTCTTCTTGTTCAATGATTTTTGAAATTTAATTTAAAGACAAAATGGTTTTAATCTCTCCAAGCTGTGCAGGATAGTGCTATAGAATTCATTACGTCCATTATGCTCATGTGAACATTGATGGTACACAATCTTAGCAACACCCTAATTTATGCTGTTGTTTTGTTACTATTCAATGCATAACAGGATGCGTGAAGCCTGATTCCAGGTGAGAGAGCCAGAATACAGGTCAGCTTGTGCACAGCCGCGCTTCCCATTCCAGAGGCCCCTCCAGTCAGTGGAGGCAGCGTGCTACCGGTGCTCCGGACCACTGGAGAAGGAAACCGGGGGTGTCTCCCCACAGGGGCAGTTGTCGTGTGGATGGTAAGTCATTTAAGCCATTATTTTCATATTAAAAGACGTGGATATGTTAGAGAGTCTATTGTATCATTTGAATGCGTTTTTAAACCACAAGCTGCAAAGAGAGTTCTTGCGTACAGAGGACCATTTCTGGCTCTGCCCCCAGACCCCTGGGAGGACCCATTCAGCCTCCACTGTTATTATGGATACTTTGGTAGAAAAATTTTAAAAGTACTGCTGTATGGGATGATAGGTTTTTCAAGCATCAGTGTTGCTGGGGTAAATTGCATTTCTCCTGTGAAGTTTGTGAGCATCGTGTTTCTGTTTTGTTTTTTAGGTTTTTAACACAGTTAATATCTGTACATGGCAATCAGTCAAATAGTGAGAAAAGATATGAAATGAAAAGCAAATATCTCCCTGTCCTGCCTTTCTCAACCCTAGTCCCCCTCCTTAAAAGTAAACCATTATGAACAGTTTCTCATATATCTGTCAAAAAATGAATGCATATTCTTGTAATTGTAGCTGATTTGTTTGTATCTGAGTCATATTCTCACTGCTTGCATTCAAAATGGCATGATTCTTTTCAACCAGTGTCAGCCATGGGGTACCAGAGCTCACAGATGCTGTAGGAGGCAGGAGGGTGGGGAAAGGGTAGCTTCCGGACTCTGAGCAAGGATCTCTAAGTGTGAACCTTTATTGAAACCCTA